TCTCTCTGTGTCTCTCTCTCTCTCTCTCTCTCTCCCTCTCCCTCTCCTTCTTCTTTGGTTATTATGAATTTACTTTAGTGTTAGTCCTGGTCAGTTTTATACTTCTGAAGAGCATTATTATACTTATTATTACACTTCTGACTACACTTGTGAAAATCTCATAAAAAGTATAGATTGAACGTCCAAAAAAATAAAGTTTTTTAATTGAAACAATATTACTTTTTACTAATCTCTTTAAAGTTATGTGGATACAATTTGTATCATTAAACATTTGAAATATTTGTTCTGGAAGTTATTCTGATGTCTTAATTACCCTGTGCTATTGTCTGTATTGACTGTAAAATCAAGCAGTGTAATTAATTAAATGAATTGAGATCTTTTCAATCAAATTTTAATGAAAAATAATAATAAAATGTATCCTTTTAATCTTCCTGATTACATTAACAGAAGTTATTACTGACTAATACTAGATCATAATTATTTAGGTTAATGTGATTTTTGCAAGCAATCTGCACAAATAAGTTTAACATATCAGTTCCAATGCAATTAGCATTGTTGAGTGATGGAGGACCAGGAACCATGGGAGCTAGCTTTTAATGTGAATGCTATAGCGAAAAACATACACACACACGGTCACACACACACACACACACACGAATGGTATCCCATCATGCACCTCACAGACACCAGTTCCAGATCACTACTAACCAGGTGGTAATTTGTGTGGAACTTATCTTTATTTATTTATGATTTGGTTATGAGTAAAACAAAGACCATGCTGGTCAGGTAATGGAAACATAGGCTACACATAATTAGTTATGAATGAATGAATTATTCATAAATAATTAATTCACCGCTGCCTACGATGACAATGCCATCGTCCATCGTGATGTTTCACATTAAACATTGTACGATACCAATCTGCCAAATTGGTCAGCCATCTTTTCAGCACATCACAGAGCAAAATGCTGGATATACAGATTAAAATTCATTCAGGATCCTTGAATATGCATCATGTGTGTTGGATTTTTTGCATATGTTTATGATGAGACAACATACACATTAAGACTGCTCAATATAAGGCTTTAATGCATGTTTATGCAACATTTCATATCACTCAGCTCTTACAGTGTTTTTTTTTTTTTTTTTTTTTTGGGTTGGGAGATTTCTCAGGTTAGAACAATTTTTTGACAAATTAACCATGGTTATCTTGATTATTTTGCACTTAAACTAGATCCAAAATCAGAAACCCATCAGTTAATTATTTACCTCCCCACGTTACTTGCTTTCTCTTAAACCATAATATGATATTTCATGGAGCAAATCTTCATCTGTGTCATAAACCATCACACTTCCAGATGAATTAGATCCATCAGCTGTGGCACAATCGACACAGTGAATGGCAGGGAGATGAACCCAAGACGCCAGCAGCGTTACTGCAACCCTGACAGCAGATACCCATCACACACACACACACACACACACACACACACACACACACCCTGCATTAAAACATGTCGTTCTCTCCCTCCAGCATCTTTCCCATTAATTCTCTCCCTTTCAGCCACTTGCGTTTGTCTGATTTAACAAGATAAGATTTGAGAGCTGATGTTGGCTGTTCTTAATGTACCATAGGGTCCACAATGGGAGCTGCACCCCAGTTTCTGAGAGGCATAAATCGGCTATTCAGGGGGGAATGAGAGGAAAAAAGAGAGAATTAGATATGCAGCATAACAATTTTACAGCCCCAGTCTCAGAAATTGAAATAGTGGAGATTAATGTATCATACATTATACACTGTCCATCGAAATCAGCTCTAATATACTGAACAGGCTTGCATAACAAGAATAAGACTTTCTAAGAAGTGCTCCTAAGGCCAGCCTGACCTCGGTAATTGATTCAGATCTCTGCGCTCCTGTCGGCGAGTCTTACCAGAAAGCTCCTGAGGAAAAATAATCTCCCATTGTACAATTGTGATTTAGATCATTGCAGATAATTTAGATCCAGTGACCGCAGATGCAGGAGAATATGCCAGGAGTGTACATGAAAGGGAAATTGTATGGAAAAAAGGTTGAAGATTTTATATGAAGTGTTGATATTAATGTTAAATGGGCTGTTAAATTGAAGGCTTTGTTGTGTTGTCAGTTTTTTTGGATTTATATACTGTTCTTAAAGGTATAGTTCACCCAAAACATGTATATTCTATTTTTATTTACTCATTTATTTACTCTTTACTCTTTTATTTTTACTTTTACTTGTTTACCTTTAAGAGTTTTTTTTTTCTTCTGTTAAACAAAAAATAAGATATTTAGAAAAATGTTGAAAACTGCAACCATTGATTTAAATGGTTTGTTTTTCCTACTATGAAAGTCAATGGCTACATTTTTATTTATTTTTTTTGTTTCTTCATAATATTTTCCTTTGGGTTCACGAAAACAAAGTAACTCAAAGTTAAAGAGTAAATAGTGAGTAAATTTTCATTTTTTAGGTGAACTATTACTTTAAGGACTGTTTAAATTTGATGATTGTTCTTTAGGATGTGCAAATTATAGTTTGTGTCATTGTCCTTAATATATTGCAATTAATTAACAAGTGCTTTTATCTTTTATTCATAAACATGGACAATAATTAATATACCATATGTTTAGTCATTATGTTTAAAATTAAAGAGTTTTACTATTTATTTGCTTATTTTTTTATAAATTATAAATTATTGTTCATTTATATTAATAACTTATCATTAGTGCTAAACAATAAACTATGAATAATAAAGTCATAATGTGAATCATTTGTAATCATACAATGCAACAATAATAACTGTAATGTGATTATGATATAAAATGTAATATTAATCATTTTACATAATCCAGATTTTTACCAACACTGGCTCTTTTTGGTTATTAGGATTACATTATTTGAGTTTAATTGACATTTTTTTTCTTTTAACACAGTATTATGTTACTTTACTTACATTGACATTGTGAATAACTAAGAATAGAATAGGCTTTTACTGGTATACTTTTTTCTTATTGCGTTTAATTGCTGAAATTTTTTATTGTGGTATACAGTGGAATTTTCATAATATTGAACCAAGCAATATCAAAAAAAAAAAAAAAAATAAAAATTACAGCTATAACAACTACAACACAAAAAAAACCCTTGAATTTAGCTTTATTGTATATACATGATTAGAGTACATACATATTTTAAATTGATTATATGCAATGATAAAGTACAATAGATAACACTTTACATTTAAATCTCATTTGACATTGCTAGTTAATGCATTAAAATCAAAGTTGATAAAAAAACTAACTAATTGTATTAGTTATTAGCATCATTTATTATAATGATTATGAATTTTATTTTGAGTATTTTGAGAATAATTTTTTGTAAATGTATTTTGTGAACTTATTCAAGTTTATAATGATGCAACACACACCCAGACTGCTGAATATACAGGTTTTATGGACTGATATGTGATATGATGTTCATTGAGTGAAAGAATGATTATAAATATCAAAGCTAATCTGTTTGTGCTGAAGTGCCCACAATATAAATATTATGCAAGTTCATGTAATTGAATATTTGCTAGTTAATATATTACAATATAAGACAATATTGGTTAACCAACCAAACAAAGAAACAAACAAAGAAACAAACAAACAAACAAACAAACAAACAAACAAACAAACAAACAAACAAACAAACAAATAAATAAATAAATAAATAAATAAATAAATAAATAAATAAATAAATAAATAAATAAATAAATAAATGGGTTTAGTGGTAGGTTCAGGGTTAGTGCCTGGTTATAACCTCATACTTTTTAATGCATTTATTTGTATATAATTATAAAAAATATACTAATTTAATTCAATTAATTTAATTCATCAATATGATCCCAGTATGCATGTGTGCAACATGATTTTACATTTAATATGCTAATGACAATTTTTATTGTATGTTGTTTAATCAATCCTATTTTTCATACTCAAATGTAGCATTTTCACATTTAAAGTATAAAATGCAATTCCTGACTTTCAGTTATTATTTTTATTTAAACAGAATACACCATTTATTGTTGTTTTGCAGAACAAATTTTTCATTTGAAGAGCAAAATGTATCAAGATAAAGGCATTTTTAAAGTTTATATAGTATATATATATGGCGACCCCAGAATAATAAAGGCACTAAGCCGAAAAGAAGATGAATGATTGAAGGTGCCACAAAAATGTCCCACAAATATAGATACATAGCTGTGCTCAACTGTGAACTTTTTCATTTATTATAGTTCTTGCATTAATTAAATGTTTAATTAACAGGTTACTTAAAATGTAAACATTTGGTTGTTTGTTCGAGTTAAATACCAATATATACATAAAGTTGAAGTCCGAATTAATAACCCCCTTTGATTTATTATTCTTTTTTAAGATATTTCCCAAATTATGTTTAACAGGGCAATTACATTTTCACAGTTAGTCTGATTATATTTTTTCTTCTGGAGAAGAACTTATTTGTCTTATTTTGGCTAGAATGAAAGCAGTTTGTTTGTTTAAAAAAACAAAAACATTTTAAGGTCAAAATTATTAGCACCTTTAAGCTATATTGTTAAGTTGTCTGTTGAACAAACCATCATTATACAATAACTTACCTAATTACCCTAACCTGCCTAGTTAACCTAATTAACCCAGTTAAGCCTTTAAATGTCACTTTAAGCTGTATAGAAGTGTCTTGAAAAATATCTAATCAAATATTATTTACTGTTATGATGGCAAAGATAAAATAAATCAGTTATTTGAAATGAGTTATTAAAACCATTATGTTTAGAAATGTGTTGAAAAAATATTCTCGCCATCAAACATAAATTGGGGAAAAATAAATAATTAGGGGGGGGGGGGGGTAATAATTCTGACTGGAACTGTATATTTTGTCTTTGTAAGAAAAGAAATGTAATAACGCTTAGCAAGCTGTCTAACCTTTTTTTCTTTTTCTTCTACAGAAATCTATACAGATGTGTGGAACAACACCAGGGTGAGCGTAGTTTTATGGTTGCTGTTGTTGTTGTTGTTGTCGTTAATTCAAAATGCAAACTGTTGCTTATTTTAGTGTCAGTTCTTCAACCAATGATAATGGATTAGTGTCTAAACAGTGAATATTTGCTGTGTTTAGAGAGAATAGCAAAGCACAGAGTGGAGTCAGATTTGACATCATACAGTATGTATGAACTGTGCTGTTTATCTTCTAGTTACTCATCATGCATGTTTATTGATCTTACTTACATAGCATGTTCTCCACTGATTCTCTCCCTGCCGCTGTTTGTATCTTTTTGTCAGCCTGTCCGTCTTTTTTCTTTTTTCTGTCTTTTCATGAGTCTTTGTGATGACTGATTGATGCGAGCCTCTGGTTTTGATTAACTCGACCCTCTTTGAAATCAGACAGCATATATCTGAGGGCATCACACAGAACGCATAGGTTAAAAAGCTTACAAAAAAAGGATCAAGTTCTAGCTTAATAAAAATCAATTCTATGAGACTGGATGGAAAATGAGTCATAATGTCGGCTTCAGAGTGATTCGCCATTATGGCTAATTCCATTATACTTTATACTTGTGTTTCCATTGTTACTCTTTGATTTTTAGAGATGCATGCCTATATGATTCATAACTGTATTCTGTCATTATAACAACATGTTCAAATTGTTTTTATCTTTTTGTTAAACTCAATTTGTCTACAAAAGTCCTCTAGAGATACATAACTGAAATTAATACTATACTGTAGGTTTTAGGGAATTCTGGGAGTGTTGTAAAGTTTCTAAAGAAAATAAAAGAGTATTAACACCATTATTTCAACACATCTGGAATAAGCTACTTGGGTAAAATAGCTTACATAGTAATTCCAAGAATTTTACACTGGTATAGTTTTTAAAATGCTTCTAAAATGTCTTATGCACACCAAAAATTTTATTTTATTCATTTTTTTATTTATTTATATGTTTATTTTTTATTTATTTGTTTGTTTTTTATTTATTATTCTTTTTTCTTTTTATATTTTTATTTATTTTTTTACCAGACACTCTAAAATACACTGGCTTGTTATTATAATGGTTAATATCTGTCCACTTTTACTGTATTTACATTATTGATGTAAATCTTGTAGATGTAGACAATCAATTATGTCTTATGCCAACACAAAAGTTGGCATTTTATTTTTTTTTTTATTTTATTATTTTTTTCTTTTACTTTATCTTATATTTTATTTTATTTTAAATAAATAAATTAATGTATTTATGTATTTATTTATTTTTTAATTTTTTATACCAGACATTGTCAAATATACTGGCTTGTATCCTGTGTTATTTAAACAGTAGATTTAAACATCTACCTATATTTACTGTATTTACGCTACCTATGTAAGTAAAAACACTAATTACTGTTGATTTGACCAGAATCGTTACAGCCAATATCATGATAGAATATTACATTAATAATTTTACACGTTTTTTCTTTTTTTCTTTTATTACCACATGGATTCGTAGTAATTGCATTTTCTCTACAGCTCAAGAAAATGAACCAAATCCAGAGGACCAAATCCATCCTTAGAGAAATAACAGTACAATGAAGTCCGGTGTATTTAATACAGAGAGCAAGACCATAATTGCAACAGATGCTAAGTGGTATTATAATAATGGATAAGTGAATTCATATTATAGCTCAATTAGCTGAACTGACTCTTATGTAAAACAAAATGGCTGTTATTGCAGCAGTGCTTGCACACTTTTTTCAGCAGCATTGTTTCTGAAAGTTTTTTTTTGCTGAAATAGTTGCAAGCAATAAAACCGTCCAGCAATATTCAGAGTTACAGCATTACTATTTCAAAAGTATGTATTAAGACTAATGGCTTTAAGGTCTGGCTTTAAAGGACCGGGAGTTGCTGAGATGTTTATTTCAGTATGTTGATTTACTTCCAACTGAAATGAATATTGCATTGGGGCTAGGACTTTCTTTTTGTGCATCATTCACTTTCAGCAAACTAACGGTCAGAGGGGCGTGGCTAAGAATATGTGGCTGAAGCTATCAAGCTGACATTAACATGAATGGTCAGGTTTTGATTAAAAATTACCAAAACAAACTTTTTTTTTTTTTTAAGTGGATCAACTTGCATAGATTAATTGTTCAGCTAAAGAATAACAATGTGCTTGAGCAAAATAAACTATAAATTTAGATTTTTAGGAGACTTTAATGAGGTAAAGACAACATTTCCAATAGGGCTGCATGATTTTGGAAAAAAAAAAATCTGACATTGCAATATTTAGTTTTGCTGCGATATATATTGCATTAAGAATATAGTTTTGCAAGATGATTTGAATAGCTCTATTTGTGAAGACTTTATTCATTTACATTTTTCTATGCGGTGCATCTGCATACATTAATAAAATGAAAGCATATACTGTACAGCAAAAATAAAAGTAAATTAAACAGCGCTTTGTGGTTTGTCTGGTGAGTCAGTATTTAAGTACAGGAATTAAACAATCAAACATAAAATAACATGGTCATAATTGTATAAATAATTAAATATACATATACATTTAATAATATCTTTATCTTTTAATCTTTAATATATAATATAATGGATATTGATGCTTAAACAATATATAGTTCAGCCCTAATTCCCATTAAGCATTATGAATGACACTGAATTAAAAGCAATGTAATAAGGGCTGTATTTCAGTTGGTGGACATGTACAGTAAGTATTGCTTGTTGCGATTGTCGTTTTGTTTGTTGGAAATTTCTGTGCAAAATCATGGATTATATTGTTATTCAATAAGGCAGAAGGAATGCAGAAATATGGCTTCAACAAAAGGATATACCATCAATTAACAATGATCAGTTTTTTTTTTCTTCTTTCATATCCTGACTATTCCACTCAACTGTCACGCTAGCTATTGTTACATGATCACTACCACTGTTACATTATTAATGCTACATCATTACTAGCACTTCAAAGTCCATTATGATTATTCCACTGACTCCCCTGCATTTCCAATGTTTCTCAGATTATATGAGGCAGCAACAACTATTATTTTTGTCATTTATTAATCTAACCATTTTTTAATGATCAATCCAACTTATTTTTTTAATAATTCCACTGGTATTTTATGTGCTTTGATTGATCATTTGGCTTTTACAGTTAAATCTTGATAAGCTAACGAATATAGAAAACAGGGTAGTCCTTTCAGCTAGAAAATGTCAAATCATTTGATCACTGTTAAAACAGTTTTATGATTACACACTTACTATTATGCAATTGTTTTTATAGAACAAATAAGGGTAACACTATAATTGAATGTAGGCCTGTCATAATAATCAATATATTGACTTACCGCACAACACATGGACATGACCTCAATCATTTTTGGTGATTCAATATATATCGCCCATACATTAAAAAACAGTTTTAGCAAGACTATAGCTGATCTATATAACATTATATAGCATTTTCTGAAATACTCATACCAGACCATCGTTCACCAACAACCATGCCACATTCAAAGTCACTTAAATCACCTTTCTTTTCCATTCTGATGCTCAGTTTAAACTGCAGCAAATCGTCTTGACATGCCTAAATTAAGTTGAGTTGCTGCCATGTTATTAGCTGATTAGAACTTTGCATTAACAAGCAGTTGGAAAGGTGTACCTAATGAAGTGGCCAGTGAGTGTATACTGTATGCTCTTCTAAGTCAAGCTAACATAATTTATCGCTGTATTTAAAACATGATATCTAATGTCGGGTTAATGCTAACAAATGATAAAATAATTATCTGCTAATGCTTTAATGCTTCATAGAATGTAGTTATTATAATTATAATAAACATTATAAGCTTGACAACACGCAAACCACTTAGCAATCAGACTTACCAATAAAAATGCATAGGATTATGTTCTAAATTCACAAAATGTTCTAAATTCACAAAATAGACATTTATAAATGTACAAGCCAAGTATTTGTGTCCATATAAGCACATCTGCATTTACACTCATCACAACACTTACTATCGATGTGTATTACATCCCATAAATATTATGCTTTGTTTTTATTTTAATGACGAATACCTAGACCACCAAATTGGTCATCTTAACATAATGTCTCCATTTGTGAAATTTGTCAGGTTGGTAAGCGCAACCGTTCCCATCCTGAATGAAAAGGAAATGAGAGTTTATGTAATGTAACAATGGCACACATAATCTCCTCCATAATTTCCCCTGTCGTTGGTCATATCTTGCACATTGCGCCTTAGAGATGAGAAGATAAAACCACTTCATTTCTCTAGGTAAATGGAGGAGGGGTTCGCTTCATCTCCCTCCACCAAAGCAGAAGGAGTGAGGGGGGGCACTGCGATCCCGGTGTCTTTGCCCCTTCTCTGGCACTGACAGTTACCGCTCGCACCCCTTCCCTTAGCTCCCCTCCAGCTTCCGTCTGGATCACACAAACAGTAGGAAACAGTTGATTTTCATTTGCTGTTGCCGGGCAATGCGACGTGATGTCTTAACACTTGTAAATGAACACTCCTCCTCCCTCTAATCTGTCACTTTAATGCGCCATAGATTTTATTTCTGACGTTGCGATATCACATTCTTAATAACAATAATCAACTGCCTGTGTTGTTGTTGCTTTTTTTTTCCTGCAGAAATTAAATCCTGACACGGAGAGCAGGACTAATAAAAGATGTAGCTGGAGGAAAAAAGGAATAAATAAATATGACGAATCACGGGGGCTGGGAATTTGTATTCAGATGCGAGAGACAATTACACAAAGAGTCAGAATGTATCAGGCTCTCTGCAGATCTGTAATAGCTGTGCTGCGGGCCTGCTTGTTTCCTGCTTAAATGGAGTATGTGGCATTTGGTGTGCTGCGACTAATGTTGTTCAGTACTGTCATGGTTGGTAATGGATGGATAAATACATACATACATAAGTCTGTATAGCAGTTAATCACACACACAGGTTAATAAGTAGTTTATGATTAAACATTAT